CAGACCGGTCGAAATCGCCTTATAACGGTCTATATTTTTCACTTTCCTGCTCTATGATGGTATTCATATGAAAAAACAACTGGCACCAAGACTAGTTCCACTGATCACACATGGATTTATTTAAAAAACCGTTTCCAGAATGTTCATCAGTGAGACTATTGTTATCAGCAGTGAAACATTATGCCAGTATGAGTGGAAGTACGAAGGTAGCTCGCAGAAGAGTTCACTATGAAACAAGGTTCGATTTGAAGCTTCAGCCTGTCGTCTGTAGATCTGTATTTTGTCGGTATGTCGGATTTTCTCTTATAAACTGACCTATCATCAGCATCCTGTTTAGTACCGGTAGGCTAGTTTTTATCGGTAGACCGATCAGATCAACTTTTCTCGGTAAATCTGTTTCGGTCGGTAGACCGGTTCCGTCTCTGCCTCAAAGATTTATGACCGAAGTTCATAAACGTTTATGTACGGGAGATCGTAATAGAAAAACAAGAAAATCGGAATGATGTGAGTGGGTGGTCGGAACCGAATGCTTCTTGCTATATCTGATGTAGTGATCGAAAATCGTAATGAACAAGGTCGGATATTCGGAATGTATGTCTAATGATATTGTTAGAGAAAAAGATCGGAAGAATAGAATGACATTGGCAGGAAGTTCGTAAAAGAATTTACTGGGAGAGCGTAACGGATGTAAAGACTTTTCCTCCTGTTTTTATAGACAAGAATGACTGTAAGAAAAGAGTGTCACTTCGCAATCTCACAAAGATGAGTGAATCTCAACGTAGTTACGAACTTCCTGCCGCTTTCATTCCAAACACCCTGTCTTTGTCATTACGAACTCCCAGACTTTGTCATTCCGATCTCCAGCCAAAATTTCGCTGTTCAACCATTAACAATGAGTTGTCTAAGTTCGTCACGAACTCCTGGACAAATTTCATTCCGAGCATCCTATTTTTTTGTTATATTTCATTCAATTTTGCGATTGAGAACTCCATTTCGAACACTCTGTCTTTTTTTCTGATGTCTGGAGATAGTAACGGATCATTTCAATCGTAGTTCGTGATGAAAAAGTGAGACGAAAAGTCACTTCCTCTCATATTTTCACTATTGATATATGCCATGAAGGTTCTACCTTGAAAACAAATGAGTTCTATAAGTTGATCGAGAGTTCTTCTGTCTGGCAGAGCTTGAAGATTTATATCTACAGTAAAAGAAACTACGTACAATACAGGGTTTTTTACGAAGATATGGGGAGCACTAGTTCAACTGGAAATTTCCATGACTAATTAGAAACAAAAAACATTGAAAATTCGCTAAACTTTGTGGGCTTCGCTTGTTTACTAAAGTATGAGCGAAAATTAATTCTGATTATATATTCTTGCGGTTTTGGGGTGTGAGTGTGGGTTCGTGGATAGATGGAAGACCCACATACACGCCTACACCCACATCCCGCACCCTGAATTTCGGTGACTTCGAACAACGAGTCATTATCGAACATGAAAGATTGATCACCAATCAAGAAAAGATTAGTAGAACCCTAAAGAAATCATATCGGAATCAAATTGTTGAAATTTGTACCTATTCTGATAGCTGAATATCACCCTATATCGATCAGAATCAGACTATCGGATACGTTAGCGATTTCTTCACCTTGAATCCCATCAGATTCTGCTGGCTGTTAGATTATCCAGAATTTCGATTAGATTCATCCACCTAGGACGCTGATAAGCTTTCTTCGAAGTGTCTCTCAAGTCGTTTACATTGTATATGTTTGTTTGTTCTATAGACAGGTATGATCAGCAATAAGTATACTACACGCATGACTCCATCATGTCGTCAAGATTTGTGTGAACTAGCATTGGAGTCTTTTGTTGATCATCGAAAATCAGAATCCGCGCAGGGTATGTGGATTTCTGTTCATTTCAAATTATGCGCTCAAGTTTTTCTTGCAGACAATACCACAATCGAAAACATTTTAGAATCTCCAGACGAAAGTAATCGTGTTATGATAGCGTGGCTTACTACAATATCAACTAAATTGGCTTTCAAATCACGTACAAACGTTATTCATTTTACCGACGAATGCTTGTGCATCTCGCAGCTATTGTCTACTACTAGCAAGGCTATTTATTTCGTCACCAGTGCATCCCATGGCAAATACGTTGTTCCACTAATTCATAATTATTGCTGCATTGAACAAATTTATATCTATACATTGAACAATGAGCCAAAGCCAGAATGGCTCAGTAGCTATTCCAAAATTCGAGGCTTTTGGAGCACTATACCGGATGTCGAAAGTCAAATAAATTTAGACATCACTTCAAACCAAAAGCAGCATGCATTTCGGCCGATGTCCTGGCACCAGCTATTTTCCAAAATATGCTCACAAAATCCAAATGAAACATCCTCCGAAATTCTTTTGAAAGGACAAACATCTGAGAATAACATGGAAACTATAATTGTAGCAATTTTACAATGTAAAGATTTGGTATTGTCACAGATGCAATCTGAAAATATTTTGTTTAAAAAATTCAACAACGTACATGAGTGTGCTAGGTTTCTTTCAGAAGAAAACAGATCTGTATTTCTCATCGTTTCTGGTACAGTCATTTCTTCTGTTGATTTCTATCATTTCTTTCGATTCGAAAGCCTTCAAGCGTTATATATATGGTCAAAATCTTGTACAACAGCTAAATTTCTGACGCGGCACTCGAAAATACATGGTATATATGCTGAAGATGAAGAGCTTTTATTATGTTTGAATACTGATATATGCTTTTACCGGCAAACGAAACGGCAAACCATTTCTTTCGCTATTTTTGAATCTGTTGATATGCGCGCACTGATTTTACCTCAACTCGACAAGCAACATCAAAATTTTCTCAGTATTTATTTTTTGTCTAAAGTTTTGTCTCAAATGCCTCAGTTAACAAGCGACTTAGTTTGTGATGAAAAGGATTCGATGAAAAAAATCAAGCATTTTTCGCGTTTCATTAATGGGTGGGACATCCCAGCGCTATTATCCGATCTACTGAGAATTGAGAAGCGCACTTCGAATTTACACAAAGAACAATATGCATCTCCGCAAATTGTCTATCACGGAGATTTTATATCACTTGCGGATATTTCTGTCCTTCGAAAAAATTGTAATCAATTATTTTGTGCCAGATCCTGTCTTTTGGTAACAAAAGATCTAATACATGCTCGAACTGTATCTAGACATGCTATGGCTGCTGGTTTGAATGGAATTCTATTTGAAATTGAGATTACGCAAAGGGCAAAGATTTTTGATTTTCCTGATGATAACTGCTTTTTGTTTCCGTTCGGAAGCATATTTCGCATTTGCTCTGTTGCACAAGCTGCCGATGGAGTATGGCAAGTTAAGTTAACCTTCTCAGTGGACCAAGAGTTGGATTTTGTGAAAGAACAGCTGGAATACGAAGTAAATGAGTCACTTAATTGGCTCACATATGGTCATTTTCTGCGCAATCTAAAACTTGTAGACGAAGCGAAGAAATATTACAATTGCTGGTTGCTCATTCTTGATCCTGATCATCCTGCTAGAGCTTCTGTTCACTATCACCTTGCCATAGAACATGCAGGCTTGGATGAAGATTTAGAAGTGCTCGAACATATGAATAAGATCCTACGAATTGCTCAACCAATCATCAAGGAAGTAGGGGTTAACGCTCAGGAGCCTGCGACTAGTGAGGAACGTCGTAGTCCGATTTCTGTCGATCGAGGTACAATACTGGGCAACATTGCCGATATTCATTACATAAGAAAAGAACATGACGAAGCTCTTGAATTTTACGAGCAGGCTCTTGAAACAACTACTGATCAAAGACATTGCCGACATTTTCGAAAAAGACTCTACATGTTAAAAACTATGCTAAGACCCTCTTTGTGTAATAATTGTGTTTGAAACTTGATAAAAAAATACTCTCGCTCTTTCATAACAGATTTCTTTGTTTTAGATGCATAAGACGGTCACAAATTTCGATTTGTAGTGTTTGGAAAGTAACAATTAATAGCTCATTTTTTATTAAAAATTTCAGAACTTGTGAAAAACATATGGCATCGGTACACCGAGTGCAAAAAGCGAAGCTCAGTCAGAGCTTTATCGGACTATGGGTCCATGATATGAATTTTCCATCCGTTGACATTCATGAAGCCATGATGACACGTTTAAATTCGACATTCGACTACATTCGAGAGTTTGATGATGTGCAGTCATTCACTTCATACTTAAGAGAAGACGAACTTATTGCCAAAGTGATTGTTATTATATCTTCGGTGCTGCTCGAACCTCATTTGAACGATCTAGTAGTGAAACGAGCAGAAAAAGAACCTGAGAAATTCAGAGGTCCATACTGTCTTCCTTTCAAACAGCAGACATTCATAGAAATCGATAATTTGTTCTTAAAAATTCGATCTGAGATTGGAGACGATACATGGTGTCTACAGTCATCGAAATCAGATATTATGACCAGTCTAGGACCTGATTCTTTTACGCCTATTGAACTACTTCCTCCTCTAGGTGTTTTAAACTCTCCGCTTAAACAGATTTCTATTCGTCACTGGCAGAACGAATCTCTAAAATTCATTCAGTTCCAGGCACTGATTGAAATTCTTCTTCGTATGCAACATGACGAAAAACGAGCCAAAGACGAAATGCTATCAGATTGTCGCGTATTTTACCAAAACGATATTGCTGAACTGATTAAGATTAACAACTTCAAAGAGAAGTATTATGCTGCTGATGTTGTTTTATACTACTAGAAAGACTGTTTCTGTTTTCGAATGGTAAATATGGCCTTCCGCAGTGAAGAAATCGAACGCATATATACATACCGACTGTTCATTACTGATCTTCACAAGGAAATTGACAGAAGAGCTTCTATTAAACGTGGAGTCCTGAGAACCTGGTTCTCTATCGGGGTAAGAAACTACCATATACTATACTACAGCTATTAAAAGACCATTTGCATAAACAAATTTCCATGAACGGCTTTCTTTCGACTACGAAAAATGAAGAAGTAGCTAAAATGTTTTCCGGTGATAATGAACCACGTGACAACTACGCAAGTGTTATATTTGAACTTCATATACAGAAGCCTCTAAGTTACACTGGAAAATCATTTATCGATATTTCGGATGACGGAAACCTCATGAGTGACGAAGAAGAAGTTCTTTTTTCAGCTGGTTCACTGTGGTCCATCGAAGATGTTAGACGAGTAGAACACTTGTGGTATGTACAACTTAGGAATTGTACTGATCGGGATGCTGCATTAGACGCAGTTTTAGCTCGTCTAACAAATGGATATACACTTATGTCTATCGGTGACTTATTACGCGAGCTAGGTGAGAATGACAAAGCCGAAGACTTTTATCGTCACATAGCAGAGGATGAGTCGAATATTCCAGATGATCAAAAGGGCTTTCTGAACTATCATATTGGCATGTTAAGAGCCAAGAAGAAAGACTACAATGGAGCATTGGACTCTTTGAATAAAGCGATAACTTATTTTCCTCCACCCATTGGCGCCTACGTAAGAGATTCCTCTTTGAAACTATCAATAACGAATGCAAGTGTCGCAAATCGAACCACTCTCTATCTCGACATCGGTAAGATTTATTATCGGAACAAGAACAGAAGAAAAGCTGAAGAAGCTTGGAAGAATGCAATAGCACAAGGTGGAGCGTTTGATGATCTAGCCAAAGTGTATGATTGGTTAGCATGTCTGGCTAACAATCATGGTGAATATGAACAAGCCAAAGAATATCGTCGCAAAGCAATGGAATTAATTAATCAATGTGTTGGAAAAGAGGAAATGAAATGTGAACTCAAACGTAAGTGGGATGATGCCATACAGCTATGTGCTCAAATGGATGACAGGCTGAAACCGAAACGGCAGCGTACTACCAGTGGCAGTAAAGTACCTACTTGACTCATCAATAATGTGTCACCTTATCTAGCTTAGCTTGTTTTTCTTTATACTTCTATTGATTTCGTAAAATTCGTTGATGAGTATTACATTTAAGAATGCAGTTCACGTAAATCTTGAGGGTTATGGGTGTAGATGTGAGTATTCAATTACTTGCATTTTCACATTCTCACCCACACACCGCATCGCACATCCTTAAAGGGTTTTGATTTGGTTGCAAAAATTGGAACTGTTTTTTGGGTTTCGCATGGTACCTTGTCTTATCAGCCTGGTTCTAATTAAATCAAATACAGTTAGTGTCTCCTCTATCAAACATAAATTTTGAAAAATCAGAAATAAACTTCCTAAGTTGCTTACAAAAACATGCAAACGTTCATGTTCGTCGAACTATAAGCTTCGAAAAGAGAGATTCTGATTTGCTTTACTGGGACGATGTTGAATATCGCAACAACAGAGATGCTTTATTACGAACTTCTTTACTGCTGAAACTGTTCAATAGTCACATTACAGAATACACCAAAAGAGAAGGAAAATTTCGACAAATTTCAGTTAATATAGCTGAGTTTTCCACAAAAACGTTCCTCACTTGTAATGAAATATTACGCTTTCGGTTCATTTGTCGTGTAAAATCAGATACTTACTTGGATAAAAAATATTTCCTTAAAACCGTTTTCTGGATCTACTTGATTGAGATACTGCTATCATTAGCGCTCGGCAGCAACAAAAAGTATTGGTGTTCGTGCGAAAATGTGATGCGTCAGTCTAATCTATGAAGCATGATCTTACGGTATGCTTTCGCTTTCCGAAGAAATGTAAGTCCCACGACTTCGCCATTTACGGATGTAGGTGTGCATATGTTTGTGAATGCAGTTCAGGAAATGAGTACATAGGCATAGCACACATTTACATCCGCCACGACTCCACTAGGTTTCTATTCCATGCAGTTTATTTGAAAGAAAGAATAAAAAAATGAACCATTGTTTTAAGTCTATTTGATGGAAAATCGTTGAACTCGACTATTATCCCAATCAACTACATAGAGGTTGCCATGTCGATCGAAGGACAAATCCACAGGATATTGAAGTTGATTTGGTTGTTTTCCTTCGCCATTGCCACCCGCAATAATATTACCTTGTTTCGCTCCTTTAGGCCAACTCACGACTCGACTATTCCACGTATCGGCCACATAAACAGTACCCAAAGCATCGACGACAAGACCGATAGGAGTGAACAATTGTGTCAGAGCATCACCTTGTCCCTGACCCCCAGCAACGACAATTCCTGCTGTTGCACCTTTATTCCATTTCATTACACGATGATTTCTGTTATCTGATATGTAGACAGCCTGTTGTTGATCGACAAAGATTTTGATCGGCTCATCGAATTGATTAAGGCCATCACCTGCACCATGACCACCGGCAACGAGAGTTCCATTCTTTTCTCCTATTTTATATCGTCTTACTGCATTTTGTGCGATGTCAGTGACATAGAGATATTTTTGATCATCCATAGCTAATCCATAACAAAAGATTTTGTCGATGAGAACTTTTCCTTTACTTGTTCCACTACGACGAGACCATTGCACAACTCGTTCATTGCCACGATCACAGATGATGAGATTTTTCGTATCTTTGTCGAACAAGACATCGCTTGGATATTTCAATTGGTTCAATCGATTTCCTTGACCATTACCACCAGCAATCACTCTCCCGTTTGTATCATTCTTCTTCCATTCGACAATACGATGATTCCAATTATCAGTAATGATTACCGTTTCATCCTCGTCAACGAACAAACCGAGAGGTTGTGAGAGTTGGTTGGTATCATGGCCTTCTCCATTACCTCCGGCAACGGTCACTCCATTCTGTACCCATCGTGCATTAACTGGAATACTTGGAATCACTAAAAATGAAGCAAAAAAGTGAAAGAGTGTAGATGTAGGGTTTGAATGTGTTGATGAGAACAAGGATTCCTTCCTCTACAACAATCCTAGTCCATCAGGTTCTCACAGATTGGACTCTCTCTCTCAAATCTCAAATGTATCAAGTGGCTCCTTGAGTAAGCACATGTTAATGAATAGTCTTCTTTATTATTTGGTGTCTAGGTACATTTTGCAAAGTAGTATGGTATAATGTTGTCACGCTACCGTCTGAGTTCTTTAATCTACGAACCGTACCATCAAGGACTATCAATCAATTATGCTTTCACTAGAAAACTATAATTACAATCTAAAATTCAAAGGAATTATTTAACAGACATTAAGAAAAAAAGTACCATGTAACGAAGAAATAAGTGTGATAATGTCTTGTATTCTTTAAGTGGCTTGTTGCATGCCTTACTTGTTGGATGCTGTAAGACTGGGCGTATTTCTTCCGTGGTCATCGGTGATGGATTGCAGATAGGAATATTATGGCAATATGGATGATTTAAAGAAGTACGAGTAGCTCGATAACATGCATCAGTCTGGATTGAGCACGCTACTAGCTGAGAACAAGAGATATTGAGCAACAAGCAAATACCAAGACTAAAAAAAAATATAAAGTACGACAAGTTGCAAGCTTGACTTGCTGAGCACAAATCATATTGAGAAGATATGCATGCATTGCAGCCGGTTCTAATTCTTATATTTTCTGGGGGTTTTTTAAAAACTTATTCACTCCAACTATGACAGATAAATCTGTTTTTCAGTTTTCAACACTCTTATAGTAGAGCAATTGAAATCAGAATAAATCGTCAGGCCTAGAATGAATCAACATGATTTTAACAATCTCGAATTGCTGCAATGCATGGATACATAATAACATGTTCGTGATTGACAATAGCTTGATGACAGATAAAATTAGTTCTTTAAAATGTCTACAAGTTTCTACAATGATATCAGAGATGGTGAAAACAAAAATTATCAAAAAATATTGCATGAATCTAAGACAAAGATGCCTTGGTTACCTAATAAGAAGAAACATGAAGCGATGTATTGCCATCGTTTTTTTAATGTGATAATAAGCTTTGAAAGCAAATAATTACTAACGATATTCAACTCAACCCATATGTTCTCTTTCTCACTTAATATGCACGACATTCCACTGCTAGAGTATTAGCAGCAGCTGCATTCAAGGTTTCGTAGCTTGGAGACAATATTAGCTCTCTTCACTTGCCTATTAGAGAAAGTCATTTTATTGTTGTTTCATCGTTAAGAGGAAGGCATCGTGTAATGAGTATTTGATGAAAAAACTAAGCAAAGAATCAAAATATCTTAGTAAGTATGTGGATATCGGCGACTCTATGAGTCGATAGTGTTCGACTCTTGTGTGAGATTACAACGAAGACGGTATATTTTGCTTTAGCTATGCTTGTTATGAAAATCGTTGAATGTGGTTATCTGTCTGACTTTGACTGTGAGTGTTGAAGACGTGAACTGATATAGTCTCCATGTATCTTGTGGACGTATACATGAGTAAGATTCTTCTACTATTCATAGCGTAACAAAGATGTAACTTAAGTGATAAAACTTTTTTTTTAATATCAAATTTAAGAGTTCCTTGCTGCAATGTCAAAACATGTGTATACAACTTTCTGACTGGCCTGAATCAAAGAGCAAGTCGTTTTCTATAAAATAAGACATAGGGCAGGGTATATAGGTTTTTAATTCAGGACTTTTTCTTAAAGTTTGACAACTAGGCTCACGCGTCAACGAACTTAGAATTTTTGATTTTGTTGATGGTCACTGCAGTTCATAAACTGAGGTAAAAGACAACTGCAACGTCTCTAAACTTTCATCAAAGTCTTGTGATTGTACGTCAATTTCATCGGTTTTTTCTAAATCACTCAATTAATTACATACTTGTATCAGAAAACTCAAATTCTTTCTTTTCTATTTCCGTTGGAAGTATTTCTATGTGATGTTGTAATGAATTTTCAACTGCATATGATTGTCCTTGATCATAAGTTATAGTTAAATCAGCAAATAAAAAAATTATCGTATTATTTAACTAACATATTTGTTCGGAATTGATACTGTGCGAAGACTTATAATAATATTAACAATAGTAGATATAAAAAATGAAATCGAATTATTGATGGTCGTTGATCCAAATATGCAAGTTAACAATGCATTGCTATATAAAACATCATTATATTTTAGATTATTATTGACTTCTGCATTAGTTCGTTTCAAAAATATACCAAGTAAATAGCAAGTAGCCACATGTGGAGCTAAAAATGCTGAAACAGTTTGAATTAATTAAATAATCGAGACTTTTGATAATCTTGTAAAATCGACATTCTTTATTACCGGTCAACAATAATTACGAAATCCGCTTAAGTTTATCAGAATTTTAAGCAAGTCACAGTAGATTGATCTCTCTCTAGACGGAACGTTCATTGAAAAAACTATAGGTTCATCAATTCTTGATTGATCCACTAAGACTTGGCTTCTTGTTGTCTAAAAACTAGCTCACACGGGCGCATGAACTCAAAACTCTGATTGAATTATTAGACATAAAATATCTTATTTTTATACACAGATAACCCGGTGGATTTACTTTGTCTTCTTATTCAAGCAGCTATGCAGACCATTGCATATAAGTTCTTCGTCAAAACTTTATTTCATGTGAAAAAACGAAAAGACTAAGATGCACAAAATCAAATCAGAATATGGAAAATTTAAGATTTTCTTACAACTGCTGCCAGCGTCCATAATAGTATAGTAGTGTTCGCTAGATTGATCAGTGTATGGATATAACCTTTTCGACTTTCGTGTTTGTCAGGACATGCTCGATCATGATCAATATTGGTTGCCGATTGTTCCTTGGATGATTGGGTTTGTAGTAAATTACTATTAGTAGCTTCTTGTTGCTGTTGTCTTTCAATAATTTGGGTTAATTGTTTCTGCTGTTCTACAATCTGATCTGAGAGTCGGCGAAAGTAGTTTACGTGTTCCTGTTGTATTTGCATCATCTTTACTATTTCGTCACTGTGATGAAGAAGACATTGTGTAACAGCAGCAAAATTTTTTTGTTGCTCTTGTTGAGTACGAATAATGGCTGTTAAATGTTGATCTTGTTTAAGAAGATATGTCATTATCCAGTGATAAAATTTGTCTTGCTTTTGTGTACTATTATTATCATTATCATCATCATTGTCCGAATTCTCATTTCGAAACATTTGTAATGTTTCAGGAGCAATTTCTTTACAAAGTCGTTCCATTAGTTTAAAAAGTTCTTTCTTTGTGAGATGTTGTAGTTGAAGGTGACTCTTATCGATTGATGATTTGTAATCCGAAATTATAGTATTAATACGCTCACTCAAATTTTCTATATTTAGAAAAGAATAAAACAAATATCAATAAATCTATAAACAGAGAAAACTTCGTTCACCATGACATCTTTCGTTTAGTTCTGCTTCAATGTATTCAATTTCAGCCACTAACTCAGCAAATGATTTATCAAAATCTTCCGATGGAAAAAATGAAATACGGTTTCTAGCACCTCTAAGTATTGCTAAGGCACCACTCGGCTTGAAACCTTTTTCCATGACACACGGAATGTAAGGAACATTTTTGTCAAAAGCATATTCAGCTTCTAAATAGATTCAATCATTGGCTTGGCCGAGTATCAAAATGAAATGATAGTTATTTACCTATCATGCAATATTTACTCTCTTGGTAGCTTGTATTCATGCATAGAAGAACAATAAAAGAATTTTCAACGGCCTTAGCCATTCCATCAAGTATATTTCCATGCAAACATCTTGTGTCTCGCCACACTGTATATCCTTTTTTCTGTTCAATAAAAGATGGATGCATGTTTCTACATTAGTTATTTGTTACCTGAAGGCCAATTTCAATTTTATCACAAATCGATTCACATGTAGCCCGATTATAGCTTATCATGATATGTTTCTTTTCTCGAAGTTGTTGCTGATTATTGACTGTAGTTGGATGACTCATTTGGCTCTGTTTTTGATCTTCAACATGAGAATGACAATCTAGTAACTTAGATGACTGATATAAATTTTTCTCTTGTGTACCTGTCGGCGATTCAGTAAATAATTGAGCTTGACTGCTATCGGTTCTGCTTGTTGACTGTGGAATGCTGCTGTCATTACTATCAGCTCTTCCTTTGTCGCATTCGTCTCTATCCGATGCTTTGTTAGCCATTAGTGTCTCCTCAATACTTCCAGCTATTAAAATCATATTTTTTACAACAGCATCTACATAGATGAAATGATTATGATAATCATTATGGAATATAGCGTTATAAATTCTTATAACTGTACCTTCTGCAGACATTGGACAATCGTTACTGTTTTGTTCAGGAACACCAATACTGCTCTCTAGTCGCGATAGATCTGGGTGAAAATGATCATCATTCGAACCTACAGTAGACATTTGGTATCCTGTTTGATATTTAGAATGACTCACTGGTATTCATAGATCCATCATCAGCCATTATCTTTGGACTAATATATTCAACACATCTTCGACAATGTCTCATGAAATGAAATCTTACCTGATTTTTATTATTAGTAAACGAGTTAAGATTCGTTGAATTCCTGAATAAAAATAAAAGAAGGATGGAGAACAAGAAAGAAAAAGAAAATGTTTTTTCTGTGCACATTTGTTAAAGTAATATCTCTCATTCTTTTTGGTGTGCTTTTTGAAATCGTCACTCACAATCAAATGACTTTTATTCATCAAATATGCCAATGTGGAATACGTAAGTGAAGTAGTAAAGTATAGATGAAAGCATTTTCAATAGAGAAACAGGTTTTCGATCCGTTTCGGTTGCGCTTCAAACACATGCCATCGAACTCGTCTCTCTGTCTTTAAAGGCATGGGTGTGTATCTACAGTGAACTGAATATAAAAACTAGGATTTAAATGATTACTCTAAGAAATCCGAGAAAATATGTTCCGTGAACGATCATAACTTGAGAAAACAAGTCTCAGTGAAATAATTTCTTGTCAAGTTTTGAACGTCTCAATGCAAGTCTCCTTATAGTCTAAAAATAGAGTTCATGAACTTAAGCATTAGAAAATGCTTTCTCCACAAGTCCATATCACTAATCTAACATTGGTCTGAGCTAATCTGAAGCAACACGCTAACACATGCATGCTTTCAATTTTATGTGAAAACGTTATGGCTTGCGTTGTGCGCAATATACTAAATCAGTCTTACCTTATCAAAATTTTGACAACAAATATTTTGGACAAAGAACGGCAAGAAATGTTAACGTCTGATGTGATTCTTTGTATTATATAGCAACATGCGTGTCGATGTAAGGAGTCTGAAGATGAAAACAACTTTCTTTACAAGGGAGGAAAGAAAGTTACCCACTGTCTCTCCTCAATTACTCTGTAAATATGCAACGTCATAATTCAGAACGAAAATGCAATGGGTGGCACTTGGCGTTTCTTTTTTTTTTCTAAACACATTGTTTCAGAAAACAAAATATAATACAAGATGTAGTGTGAAAAGCTCTACAATCTACAAAGTAAAGCTTATTTCAATTGTATACTTTTTGTTTTCAAAAAAAATCAAAATTCTCTGTGATTAATTTTCACAAGATCGAAATTTGTTCGCTTAAAATTATACCCGTTTTGAAAATAAAAAATCCAACTATAAAATCAGCAGTCTTATATGGATCGATGAACATCCTTTTGAATATCAATCATTTCCGTTTGTGCTAAAATTGACTGTAAGGAATTACAGACTACAAAAGAAAACAAATTATGTACAGAAGAAGCAAACATAGAAAATCAAGATGTATCCATTATTACTTATGCTCGTCTTCTCTTACACTTTTCCTAGTTTATGATAATTATATTGAACAATTTTTTGTTGATACAAAAATATGTTGACCGAATAATGTACATCTTAACATTGATTTTCGACTGGTGAGAGGAGTAATACATAATTTTATAAGAAATTCAACACTAATTGATTATGCAAAACTGATATGTCAAAGATTATGTTCTCCACAGAGAAATATTTTATAATTTTTATTAATGTTTATTAAAATAAAATTGATTTATATATAGAATAAGAGTATTAAAATGAAGGCAAAACTATTTAATATTTCATTGAAGAGAACCGATTCTTTTTACAGATGCAAATGACCATATATGATAACATGTGAGTGATAGAAACATAGTAAAACAAGAAGTCGTGTTCTAGGAATAATTAATTTAAAATAAAGATCTCTAAGTCAAGTCATTTCGTATCATATAATATGCAATACATTTCCTGGAATTGTAATGAATAAATAAAAAGCCTTAGAAGTTAAGTAGAAAGGTTTTTCAACATAATCTGAGCTGAATCAATATCTGAAGCATGAAATCTTTGTTTTATTAAAGATAACAAAACATTTTACAAAACAAACTTTATCCCAGCCGAATAATACGCCACGGAAACAGTCGTATACAGTAAAACTACGATAATTTTCGACCTGGAACTAGCATTAATAGATATTCTTGAGTTCTATCTAGCACTAATTACCCAATGTCTCTAGAGGCCGATATCTGATAAAAACATTTGTATGTCTAGTTGTTCTTTGTTAAAAAAAACTTTCTTTTCTGTTAATATAAAGTTTTATTATTTCCGACAAAAATATAGATGGATGTCAGTTTAGACGTTGTCTCTGAAACAAACTGTAAGAGAAATGACTAAAGTCATCGTGGATAAGAAATGATTGTGTGGACGTGGCAGTAGAAAGTAGAGCAGCACTTCCATTCCATATCTTGAGTACATTGGTGTCAGCTCTTTATTAAGATTTGAAGCTGAATACAAATCAGATAGAAAATAAAATCCAGATATAGATGCGAACCTGTTTGGGTTTTATCCACATCTAATCTGGTTCTCTGTCTGGAAGCATCTGTAGTTCTTAACTAACCTAATGATACATAACATCGACGTAAATCATACTGATCTCTAATAGGTTTAATTGTCCCAAACTGTTAAGTTTTATATATATATAAGTAAGAGAGTACCTACAACACCTGAAATCGTTGAAAGCTGCTCGAAGACGTCGAGAATTTATTCTTAAGAATGTCAAAAAAAGTCACTATTTAAGTAGATATGTCACTTGTTAGTAGTTTGTCAATTTGTAACTTCGTAAGAATAACTTTATTGATTGATGCGATTGTTTATCGAATGTAAATCGAGAATTGTTTTTGGCATCGTTGACGATTACTTTTTCATAAATTGCTGCAATATTTGTTTATTATTATTCGTTACGTTTGTTGCTAATATTCAATTGGATGGAATAAATTTGTAGAATATGTTAAGCATGATAATATTTATTCTTTAGTTTTTGTCGACATCGAATTGCTGTGCAATAATGTATGTCAACAGGTAATAAATTTGATAATATCAGCTGCACAAGATACACAGCGTTCAATTCCAAATTCTCTTCTTATTTCTTCTACCATTATAACAGCAATAATTCATCCTCTATGACAAAAATAGGAACTCATTTTCCAACTAATCACATACAAAAGAGAAATGTGACGAATTCATGTAATTATAATACATTCTATATTTTCAAGTTTACGTGAAAAAACTCGACCTATGGAATCATGTACTGCAACAAAGTTTCAAATTATCAATTACTCTCTGCAATCAGTGATAAAGATCATTTTTGATCATGTTTTTAAAAGCAAAACTTTTTTAGTCATTGTTACAAATTTACTTCATTTCTATTCATTGAATGAGTCTATCTATTTGCAATATATCATATGTCGATGTGGCATGGATTTGTTATTTAACAAAGGTAGGAACGTCAATAGGAGGAGGATTGCATGATGTATATTGCTTTTGAAATCGCCTATAAAATACCTCGTGGTTTCGAAATTGACCGTTAATGATAGTAAAACTGAGATTATATTCATATTACGCTGCTGTTGTTTTAACTGCCGAGTTATGCGTTTGAACACATGTCATAATGTTGATCAAGAAAAGACAAAGTTTAGCAAAAAGAAATAACGAATCCATTAGTAATGTATGATGACACTAGATGAATATAAATTACTGACTAAATAACTCCGCCAGTTGCCATTAATTGATATAATTCCTTAGTTTCAAATGCTTTTTCGTGTTTCTAAATAAAATCACGAAAAAGTTAACAACATTTGAGGAAAGCAAGAAAGCAATGAATCTAAGTCATACATCGTTAAATATAGGAGCCATGTTTTTATTTAAAAAAACA